CCCCAAAACCCCAAAACCCCAAAACCCCAAAACCCCAAAAAGCATTTTATAGCTTGAAATTATTATTTGTCATATGCTTATTTTATGAAGTCCCAGAATTGATCAGTGGTGAGAGAGAACTTAATTCCAGTCCCTGGGCTGACTTCTCATGGTCTAAGTGTTAATGAGATTAGAACGTACTTTATTTGTACTGCTGGGAAATATTTTGAACGGAGTCTTTGTTTTTCATCTCTATGAATGTGTCAGAATGATGAAGAATAGAATTAGCCACCAGGAATGATCGAGAAAATAAGTGAGTGAAGTAATTGACAATTTGACCGATTTTTACCTTTTATTAGCCACTATTTCTTTAAGCTCATCCAAAATCTGGTGTGAGTTCTATAAAGATAACTAAAATTGTATCTACTCTGTGTTCTTTGTGCTTATTTTCTTCATCGGAGGGTTTCAAACCTATTTTATCAACCATCGACCGCCATTCACTTACTTTTAAGAACTGATAACAATGAAGTCTTTATCTCTTCTTCTGAGTTGTTTGTAATACTTGTAGACAACCCTGATTTAATATGCTCCAAGGACTTCTTCTGTATCATCTATGGATCAATGTAAATGAATACCTTTGGCTCTGGAGGGAGAGGCTTCTCTCAAGCCATACTTTTTATATTAATAGAACCTTGCTTATTAGTTGGAGAAATTTGCATTTTCCCTCCTTTGTCTAGATAAAGTCTTGGAGTCACACTATGTCCGATCATATGGGTCGACTTTTGCTTGATAATTACAATATGAGCATATTCTATAACTTAATTAAGACCAAAATCAAGAAAATACAAATTCTGTTGTTATTATGATGACTTTGGAGAAGAAATAGGCGCGCCAATCACAATTCTTAGACCTTACCTTCAATTTCTGAAGATTTTAACCAAAATATGTCATTTAAGTTTCCTTCAAGATCAAATTGGCTCTTCACAGAGATGTATTCTAGATCATCAAGATCTTCCAAATATTTAAAGAAGACCTCTTCATTGCTCTTCAGTCTGATGGAGAATTCATTGATGAACATGTTAATGAGATGATCATATTTAGCATTTGTAGGAATCTAAAACAATTTAGAGTGATATTTATACTTTTAAGTATTTTCTTTGAGTCTCAAATTCTCATAAAAGGTCTAATCACTCTTCTTTCTCCATTTGTTATTTTATCAAAATTTCAATTATTCTAATATTATTTGGGGTTTTGGGGTTTTGGGGTTTTGGGG